ATGACCGGTTATAGGTCGTGAAGCGGTGGTCGGAGTCCAGACCCCCCCAGAACCCCCCGCCAGGCTTTGCCCGTCAGGTCATTAGACCACACCGGGTGGTATAACGGAAGTTGCGTCAACGTATGTCGTAGAAGGAAGGCGTATCTCAACCTAGTCCAACAACTAACACCGGGAACACCACTACAACCAGGTGAGGAGGAAAGGTTACCGGACACGCTAAGTCTCGTAGGTCGTTTGTACGGTTACACCCACTACCGTATAAATCCCAAACCCAATCCCATTACCTCTTTCCGAGTGAATAGTGTCTAAAAAAAGTATCTAAACACTTCGTTATAAACTCTCTTTACCAAATAAACACATATATACTTTTACAAAAACTACGAAAGCTCAGGTAGAGTACTTTTTGTACCCTCGGTTTTTTTTTTGGTTTTTACAACGTAAATATAAAAAGCAGGCACATAATGTTACAAAAACATCTTCACCGGAATATAAGAATGCAATACCCTAATGTGTTCAGATAATCCTTACTTAGGTAACACCGGTTTGGGTTGTGGCATACAACAGTCCTACTTTTCTCCCGTCACTCTAATAAACACAATTTTAAAGTCCAGTACAATTCGACCTTAAAGTACCAGTTAAGTAGTTTAAGACAAGGAAATCTCTTGTCACAAACCTTTTTCGAACTTTGAGAGAACTCGCGACTCGACCACCCCCCATATTTCATTCAAGCATTATTATTACTGAAACCAAGGTAAAAGGTTATTAGCTATTGAGTTTTGTTCTAGTCACGGTTTGAAAATGTTTATGTAGGGCCTACCGGATTACCACCATGGTCTATCGTCTTTCTTTTTCATTTTAGTATGACGGGCAAGGTCTGGGGTCTCGTTTGAATCCAAACGACATCGGTTGACGAATTTTGTGACTAGAGCGTAGGGAAGGACCGAGGACGTGTCGGTATAGTGACGACACACACAAACAGGTAAGTTAACTCCTTCTCTAGAACAAGTCAATGGCGTAAGAGGCGAACGTCCACAGTCGAGTATCGACAATCCCTCAATACAGCTTGTAATACCACCGCCCTTGTCGGAATATGGTCATTCTTCCGAGCGTCGGTCGTGCACTTTGTGTGCCTTCGATATTGGCGCGAACAGAGGTCGTACAAGTCTCCGAGGCACGCTTTCGACTCCGAGGTCGTGGGCCCCGGTACTTGTCCTCTGTCGTCACTCCTGCTCCGACTCCAGAAAGACCGACCTTTCACTAAATTACTATTGTCAAATACTAAATTATTAACCACCATTGTATGTGAGGAACGTAGCATGTATAAAAGATGTTTTGGCGCGCGTAATTCCCATGTCTGACAGGAACATTATGATTGCTCGTGTTTTTGTTATATAAGACATAGCATGTCCGTTTTTTTTTTTTCCAATTCGGCTACTGACATACGTGAATCGGCAATCTATCGACAGTTACACTTCTTTGTAGTGAGGTGACGTAACTTTCCGTAAAGTGGAAAGTCAGACGGGACCCTGTGACATAAGAGGTGAAACACTTCAGGTCTCATTCAAATCCCAGTCTACAAACCACCACAAGACTGGGCCCTCAGGGTAGGGGGTTGTTTATTAGGGTCGAGGTATCAGGAGGAGGTAGGAGTTAAAGGTCGTACAGTCTCACTAGCAAAGAGGGCCTCATTATGGGACCCTGTCCGGTCAACCCAGGCCGTCCCAGTGTGTCCGCGACAGACACTGGACAATCTCCTTCTTCGTGTTTTTGGATTTATATTTCTTTACATTTTACGAGACGCCGGAAGGAATTAGGAATGAAAGTGTTATAATTATTAAATGGTCAAAAGAAATACTGTATTTATTAAATTAAAAAAGGGAAAAAGGATTTTTCATTATAATGTAACTTGTTTGTCTACAACACCTTTCAATGTCTCCATCTAAACAGATTTCATTCATCTCGTTTTTCATTCTGTTAACATATGTATTGGAACTCGAACAGTGCCATTTATGTTAAGTCGTTTGACTTTTATTCAATTCTTTGCTGTAGCTGGGTAATATTTGACTCGTTTCTATAGTAATGGGACGGTCCGTAAATTCAACATTCGTTGCCATTAAATTTTGTATTTTCATCGAGTGGTCTTTTTGGCGTCATTCTGGTCTCGTTTCACACAGCGGTAGGAAGTGTGAGTTGTGACTATTAGACAAGGAGACAAACACTCTTTAAGAACGATTGAAACACATTTATCTTTCTAACTTTGACGTCTGTATACTTCTCTTTAGTCCTTTCGATGTCTCTTTGTTTACGTTACATTATAACCGTGTGCCTTTCAAACTAAATATTTGATAAAATTTTTCATGTGTCAGAACCCGGAGGTAAGGAAAAAATCGTTTCGAGTGTGTTGTACTTGTTCGAAATTGTGTCCGTTAGGAAAAAACGTGAACCAAATCCATGGGCGAAATTACTACTTCTCTGTATCTCCAAAATTTTATATTAAGGCTGCATCTAATCTAGTATAGGGACATTGAGGTACGAAGGACCGTGTTTTTCCAGGTCATTATAACTACCCGAAGAGATTTCGACCGACATATTTTAATAAGATCTTTAATTCACGTATGTCAAAATTCTTCCTCTCATGTTAACATACCTTCAGGAGTGAAATATTAGGTACCGTGAAGAGGTCGGTTATAACGAGTATTACTTTTTACACACATTTCGTCCGAAAATTGGGTTTATCAACTTGACGTCACGACCTCACAAGACTTCAAACTCCTAAAGTTCCCAAATTCAAACCCTTTTGTTGGAAGTGGGTGTCCTTAGAGAGCCCCATCAGAGAAGTGGTCTTCACTACCACTTCTCTCCTGTTTCAGGACGGGGGGCGAGCTCTATCTGGATAGATTGAAATTCCCCCGTAGTAATAGGTATATATATAGTACATCATTACTCGTTATTAAAACACATGGTGGTGTTACAAAAACACATCAACGTTTTAACATAGTGTTGTCAACATGTTTTTACTGAATTCGGTATTGTGTAATAGTTTTATCTGGATTTATGGAAGTCATCGGACACTTCAAAAATTTTAACCACCGCCTGTCAGTTTTAGACTTCGAAGGTGAAGGTACGTAGTCTCGTTCGATTCCTGTCCACTTGGGCATTCGTCTAGTTTACCACAACTGCATAATCATAATTCCTCAATGTAAAATGTACTGTAGTCTGGACTGACGGTCTGAAGTCTTCCTTGATAAACACATTCTCATCTCATTTCAATAGTCTTATTTCATTCAAACTGTGGTGGAACACCAGTATATTAGCTCATGTACCAAAGATTAATATTGACGAGTCACTGACCTCTTGTTCATTTTATCTTATAAGTAGTTTCATTTTTGTATAGAATGTATTTAACCTGGTTTGAATTACAACCGACATCACGCAGTCATCTGAAGGGATAGAAGATAGAGTAAATTGTTTCTTTATGACTTACAACTGGGTACCTGTTACATCCTTGTGTCATTGCATATATATGTAAAAACTTTAGTATGTTCTAAATTTACTTCACTCATGATCGTCTTCGTATAACAAAAAATTCACCCGTAATTCCCAAACGGTCGCGCTGTCGTATACGCCGATCCAGAGCATCCCAAACATGCTCAATGGGTGACATGTTAGGGTTAGGGTTAGGGTTTAACCCTAGGGTTTTCGGACCCCCCCAGACCCCCCCAATAAAGCAAAACTGCACGTTGTAGAAAATGTTTTAGATCTTTGAGTTCATCTCATGAAAAATGGGAGCAAAAACAAAAGTGTTGCATTTATATTTTTGTTCAGCGTAGATATAACTGTTAATTAATATAAGTGTTGTCTTTGTTTGTTTTAGTTGGGAATATGTTTCAAGATATGTATCTGCTGGTAATATTGTTTCAGACATTGACAATACATATATTTAAAATATATAGTGGTGTGAGATTAAGGGCATTGTTTTCCTCCTACTTTAGTTTGTTCCCGTTTGTTTTTTCAGGGTAAATTAAGTGGAAGTTTTGCTGTACCCATGCATTGTCTTTTTCAGTTTGCATGGTTTAAATGTCCCCTCTTTGTGTGTTTCAGATTTGAATTCAGCAGCGTCTCTCACAGTGAGTCCTGACAGTGTGCAGCACTTCACCAAAACGTCTGTGTCACTGAGCTGTGAGGGAAACTCCACTGAGTGGAGAGTGATGAGGTTTTATAAATCTGACAACCTTCATCCCTGTTCTTCCTGGGGGACAATGACTGGATCCACATGCACAATAACCAGAAGCTGGCTTAGTGGAGTGTTCTGGTGTGAGTCTGAAACAGGACAGTTCAGTAATGCAGTCAACATCACTATGGAGAGTGAGTTTTAATTATTTAAAATGTTTGTTTCTGAATTACTATATTGTTTTGAAATATGAAGGTGACATGCATTAGCCAAACGTCTCTTAAAAGTGAGTCAAAGTTTATTAAAAAAAGGCTAATTTGCGAAGTGAACTCTAGGGTTAGTCCTCTCAAAGATAATATTCTATATGTTTTATTGTGTCAAACATCTACCTGATTTCAGCTTCTGCCAGACTAGACCAGTCGTGCATTAACATATTAAATCTGCAAAAGCTGATTTCTCTGACAAAGCATTTATATTATTTTTTTCAGATTATGATATTATCCTGGTGAGTCCTGTCCGTCCTGTAGCTGAGGGACTTCCTGTCACTCTTAGCTGCAAGTTAAAGACAGGAACACAAACTGCCCTTTATAATGTCGATTTCTATAAAAATGACAAACTCATCCAGAACGATGACAGAAGGGAGCTGACCATCTCTGCAGTGTCAAAGTCAGACGAAGGCTTTTATAAATGTAAACGGAGAGATTCAGCAGATGGTTGGACGTCACCAGAGAGTTGGTTCTCAGTAAAATGTGAGTATGATTTAAAAACACTTCCTTTTTTGTAAGCTGTGTTACAGTCTGAGATAAAGAAAGCTTAGTTTCCTCTGAATTAAACTGTGTTTGTGTAGGATACATTTTTATACAGTTAATCTATAACAGGAACGTTTTATATAAATAAATATTAATAAAGATTACTTATAATAGCAGCGTCCGGGCCAGGAAAAGACTCTCAATTTCCCATTCTTCTGATCGTTGTGCTGCTTTGTGGAGTTTCACTGATTATTCTCCTGCTGCTGTTCCTGTATCGCTACAGAAAGTCAAAAGGTGAGATTTTTTTTCCTCCTGATTGACTCTAATGTAATAACATGTACTGTTTTAACATGAGGACACTTTGCAATGCATAATAACATAGCAGCAAATGTCTTCTCCTTTCTTTTTAACAGATTCATGCTATAGCAGGTTGGTCCAACGCTCTTTTTTATTTTATTATGAACATGACAGCAGTCATATGTTCCTTAAATCCACTTCATTTACTACATGTGTTTTGCCCACCAGATCTCAGAGGACCAATCAGGGCCCTGCTACAGACCACATGATCAACCAGGACGAAACTAACCAAAGAGAATATGCTTCTGTTCTTCAGGGTCAGCCTGAATCCTTAATACGTTTTGAATTTATTGTTAACGTTATTAACCGAGTAGCATTTCCATTTCTCATTAGTTGTTTTAAAAAATGTAGGAGTTCATATAGAGGGATTTTAATATGAATTTGGTTTGATTTTGATTTCTCTTCAGATAATGCTTGTCTCTATGCAACAGTCAGAGGCCCAGAAGAACCTGCAAATGGTACAGTATAGTAAATATAAATACTGGAATATGACAATTCAAGGTTCACTCTTTTAAATAAAAAATAAATTTTACATTTCAGATGAATACACGGATGTCACGTATTCTGTGGTCCAGCTCAAAAACATTTCTAAGAAGGGTGAGCATTTGATTTCTATGTCATAATAACATACAATAATTAAGGTGCTTTTGTAGGCTAGCAGTGCCTAAATTAAGCAAAGTTTTGTTTTTTCATGCTTTCTCCTGATCCGTCTAACAGGGAAGAAAAATGAACCGGAGGATTGTGTTTACTCACATGTGCAGATGGCATCAGCTGCAGGTATGATGAAATACTACTCGCTTTAGTTGGGTTACGTGCTGCCTGCTAGGGTGCCATTTTTAAATCTACCACAAGGTGTTGCCAAAGTCAGCAATGTTCAAATCCTACACATAACTTTGTCAATGTTTGTTAAGTTTATTTTCTGACAATTCTATGCATTCATGAACTAAACATCAGGACATATTACTTTTCATTCATCTGTATCCGTACAGGTTTAACTGTTGTGAATCACCAAGACAAATTCCTTCTATCAAACTATCACTGGTACCCTCTTGTGAGGAAAATGTATACCACTATATTTTCATGTTTAACTGGGGGGAATACTGTAAAAAATAAATAATAATAATCTCTTAATTCATAGGGAAGTCAAGTCCTGCACCAGCGGATGAAACTGTTTATTCTGAACTCAAACCAGGAACAGCTCTTGGTAAAAATGCAGCGTAACATCATGTAAGTATTCAGATCAATCACTCTATATATTTCATGTATTGTTAAATATGTTGTAAATGGGAGTAATATGTCATGAAACACCCTAATTCTTTAAAAAGTTTAATCTCTTTCTTCTTTGGTTTTCTTCCAGATCAAACAATGTCTTCTGTAAGGACAAGACGAATGGAAACAACATACCAAAACTAAACCTTTGTTTATTAAACCTTATTTTCAGCTTTGCTCTCCATTCATCAGACAGTATTTTGTACAGTTAAAGTAATAGCAACTCATTGAAAGAAAAGGCATCATATGGCTTTGATCTAGGTGTTTTAAAGAAAGTAAACTTTGTTTTGCATCAATAAACTTTATTTACTTAATTGCTTCTAAAGTACATGCTTTTTCTTTTCACAATGTGTTTAATTTGCTTCATCATCCTCCCTCTTATTTTGGGGATCCAGTACAGTCATGCTTTGAGGCGACAGAAGGAATTTAGAGGTGCAAGAGCTGAGATGTGACCAAAAATGACTTTGAGTCACTTTGAATCATCTGCCCTTGTTATTACTATAGTGATGAAGCAGTAGAAACATCTAATATTAGAGGTTTACAGGATGGCTATTTTACCAAAAAATCCTGACTTTTGTATTCTGTTTTTAGACTAATGCATGATAAATAATCAGAATTACAATTGCAATAAAGGTCAGGTAAAGAATGAAAAGAGGTTAAATCATTCTGCAGTTGTCTCGATGAACCATCGAACTGTTGGCGTTAAAAATATCTGTCTTTGAAACACAAGTATAATACAGCCATCCATTTTTACTGAAATATGAGTTGAGCAAAAATGACTATTTACTCTAAAATACATTTTTATAGTGGGATCTTGAGAGTGAAGTTAGAATGTACTGTATCTGCATGAGCATGAATTTGTCATGCCAATGTAAAACAGGAAGGAAAGAGAGACTAGTTATTCTCAGGAAATGTGTAAAATACCAACGAGCTCATGTTGAGATCAGATCAGATTTCTTCCCACAGTGCTCTGTTAGTCTTCCTCAATTTTCTTCAAGTGTTAAAGTGGACGTATCTGTAAGAGACTGAGTCAGTGTTCGATGCGAAGATGGGACACACTTTTAGTACTTTTCCAGTTTTAATTACCATTGATACAACTTTTGAAATGCCTGAGGTTATGATATATTTGTCAGTTTGATAATGCCCTCCAAACAACATCGGTTTGGTCAATGTATAATACATTTTTTGACAAAAAGAAAACACATTTTACTTTATGTACTGTGGAGGAAATAAGTATTTGATCCCTTGCAGATTTAGTGAGTTTGCCCACCTACAAAGAAATTAACAGTCTATCATTTTAATGGTATGTGTATTTTATCAGTGAGAGTAAGACTATCAAAAAGAAAATCCAGAAATTGACATTATATAAAAGATAAACATTGATTTGTATTTAACTGTGGTAAATAAGTACTTGATCCCCTTGCAAAACATGTATTAGCACTTGGTGGAGAAACCCTTGTTGGACAAACAGAGGTCAGACGCTTCTTGTGGTTGGTCTCCAGGTTTGTGAACACCTCCGGAAGGATTCTGGTCCATTCCCCTCTGAAGATCCTCTCCAGATCCTTAAGGTTTTGAGGCTGATGCTTGGCGTCTCGAAGCTTCAGCTCCCTCCACAGATTTTCTATGGGATTAAGGTCCGGAGACTGGCTAGGCCCCTCCATCACCTAAGTGTGGTTCTTCTTTAGCCACTCCTTTGTTGCCCTGGCCGTATGTTAAGGTTTATTGTTGTGCTGGAAAACATGTAAATTTCCGGCCAATATTTCATGGTACATGGCCCCGTACATCCTGTCCTCGATGCAGGGAAGTCGTCCTGTCCCCTTAGCAGATAAACAACCCCAAAGCATAATGTTTCCACCTCCATGCTTGACGGGGGGGGGGATGGTGTTCTTCGGGTTATAGTCAGTATCTCTCTTCCTCCAAACACGGCGTGTCGAGTTGATGCCAAAGATCGCGATTTTGGTCTCATTGGACCACATAACCTTCTCCGAAGCCTTTTTTTGAATGATTCAGATGTTCATTGTCAAACTTCAGACAGGCTTTTCATGTTCTTTTTGAGCAGGGGACCTCTCAGGCGCCGCAGGATTTGATCCATTATGGTGTAGTGTGTTACCAATAGTTTTCTTTTTGACTGTGGTCCCAGCTGCCTTGAGATCATTAACAAGTTCCTCCCGTTTACCGTATGATATACTTTATTATCCCTGTAAGGGAATTTGTTCTGGACTCCGTCCTGCAGTTCCGCATACATGTACATATACAAACATAGTGGACATTAAGAGACATACACATATCATCAGTCATACACCGTTTGAACAAACACAATACACAGACACACATACTAACAATGGCGACCTCTTGCACAACCCTCATGGCCAACATTTAAAAAGTACATTTCATTACATTTGACTGCATTTCATTTCATGTGAATGTTAAGAAGCTTAATGGACATAGGTAGGAAGGAGTGCTTATAGCGGTTCAGCCTGCTCTTGGGAACCCTGAATCTTCTACCAGAAGGTAGGAGCTGGAATTCTGGCTGGAGTATGTGGGTGGGATCGGACACCATTTTTAATTTTTTTGTCTGATAATGGACTGCTCGTTTATGTTTTGGAGAGATGGGTGTTTTTTAACCCCCATAGTTTTCATAGCAGTCTGTACCAGGCGAGCGATCTTTGACTGCACTGTCAAGTTACCATACCAGCCAGTAATACCATACCTAATGATGCGCTCCAACACTGCATGATAGAACAGTAACATGAACTTCTGGTCAACTCCGAAAGCCCGGAGTCGACGCATAAAGTACACAGGCACAGACCTTGAACATGCGCCTTCCAGCTGAGTGTATTATCTAGATGGACATCAAGGTACTTATAGGAGCTGACCTGAGTTATGGGTTCATTGTGGATAACCACCGGCCCAAGGTCACCCACTGCCTTTGGGTCCCACACCATCTCCTCAGTCTTCTTCACACTCAGCACTAGACGGTTAAAATCACACCACTGCACAAATCTCTCTATTTCAGAATGATAAGCCGATGAACTGCTGCCTTTGTGCATTAAGCCAAGGATGGCTGTATCATCTGATAATTTGATGATATAATTCTCCGGGTGGATTCTCGTACAGTGTCTCTACTGTGACATGTCTCCATGCTTTAATGTTCCAAACGCTCTTTATTTTTCTCATACTGCCTGTGCTGCGGCACCTCTTTTCACCCTCTGTCTGAAACCAGAGCCCAGTCTGCTCTGATTGGTTAGCTGGCGGGCTCTGTTGTGATTGGTCAACCGCTTAGAGATGTCCCGCCCCTTAGCCTATCATGTACAATCTGTTGGAGCGCTAGCCAATAGGAGCGCGAGTGTTAACTAGTTATGTCACTATGTTCTGGAAGTAAACAAAGGAGTCCAATGGAGGCGTTTCAGTCTGCCTGTGGGAGAGAAACTTCCTCTGGAGGGAACACAGGGATGTTAGCCTTTGCAGACCATTTACATGCACACAAATCTATAATGAACTTCCGGAAAGGGAAAACCCAAAAAAACAAAAAGGAGCCCCTTTAACGAAGAATTCACTTGGTAATTTAATAGAAAATAGTTATTTTTGCACCTCACTTTACAGACATATTTGGGGATTTTAACGCACGATTCGCTGATGACAATACTTAATTACAGTATCTCCACGTTCCCTGCTGTTTCTGTTTGTCCGCCTCCTTCTGTTCCTCCCTCTGCAGTCTGACACTATTCCAACTTCTGTTCCCCTTGACAGCAACACAGATGCTGATTATAGACGAGAACCGTAGCCAGACAGATCCTTGGACAACAGACAGAAAATTCTGCTGACTTTTATTTTTCGGCCATCGGCCTGGCATACACTCCTGTCTCTCCTAATTTGTAAATGTAATCAAGCACATTGCAGAGTCATCCCTGTAAACTGCTTTAAAGTATTAATGCGACGGCTTTACCCGCTACTTGGAGCCTTTGAATATTAAGGCAATGTGTTTGACAGATAGTGTGGATCTCTGTGTAGAGATGTCTCTTTACATTTCATTTACTTAACACAACATTGAGAGTTTGTTGTGGTTAATTCCTCATTTCTTTGCAGGCAGGAAGATGCTCTAATCCCTATTTAAAGCAGATTACAGTTTGTTAAAAGTGAATGTTGCAAGTGGCATCATTTTAATCCAATGGGAATCTGATGTGGCTGTAATTTAGAAAAGTGCGTAAATCCAGAAGGACTCTACTAAAGTTTAACAGACTCTAATTGGGCCTGACATGCAGCAGATTAACTAACCAGCTGCTCACACAGTAGTAAAAGTGTTTATCAGCGTGTTTTCCATGCAAGACGACAGCTGTATTATATATATTTAAAGACAATTGAAAATAGTTTACGTCCTGCCCCAGTAAATTGAATCCAGGCTGAATAGTAATATAAATCGTCACTATGAAATGCAAGGCTTTGAAATCAATAACACAAGAGTCGTGTGCACCCATCGATTTCTATTACATTTCATACAGTAGGCACATCACTCTGTACACACAATGGAAGCACACTCACAGTGAGTTATAGTGTCAAGTCAAAGAGGCTGACAAATGAAACCTCTTTACTGGAATGGAAACTTTGAGTATATTTCATTGTCTTGTACCTGGTAACACAGTTTCTATAAAAAAACAATTGTAGGTAGGGATGCCCCGGGGGAACAACATTCCCCAACAGTTGGTAAACACAGATTTTAGGGATAGATATTCGTCTAAAATCACTGATCTTTAATCTTAAATGAAAGATAGCCACCCTCTCCGTTCAGACTTTACAAATTAACTTTATTTTCTCTTCCTCTTGACGGACAATGCCACCTGTGTTTCGTTTTTCTGAGGCCAACCAATGTATAAATTGACTTTGGATAACTTTAAGAAAGAGACAAGAACTTATTTTACTCGTAAGACATCAAACAATTCTAAATAATGTCAATGTGTACGTGCTGGATTGAGGTTCACAGATGCTTACTCACTATAACTCAATATAGGATTATGTTTAAACATACATTCATACACTATAGGTCAAGGGCTGCCCCTCGACTTAAGATTTCCTGTCGACCAGTAGTCCTCAATCGAGGTGATTCGTTTTTATGATTGTTTAAAAAAGATAAACGTATGGCTTCAAAAATCAGGGCCTTTAAAGTTTCAAGACCGAGAAAGAATATGAACAACGTTAAGGTGCCTCGTGCTACATATCAAATATAATACACTGCATCGTTTAAATGTCACCTTTTTATATGCTCAGGTTTACAGTTTTTGACTAAAGAGCATATGGTATGCTCTAAGAATCTCTTAATATTTGTTTTGTTTTGCCTCCGGGCTCTACAGTCATCTCGGTATACAGTTGAAGGTTTGGGGAAATGAAACCAGAGCTACAGTATGTGTGTTACACACTATGAAGAAAACATTGATTTCTCCTTCTACTCAAATAAAGAACACTAAACAATGTTTTGGAAAGTGTTTTGTTGAAGACTGCTGCTTGTGTTTTTGCATTACTAACACAAGTTTAGTTTAGACTTGTTGCCCTCGCGGTTCCCTCCCCTATGAGTACTATCATTTTCATATCTCTGATTTCCACTGACTTCTACACAGCAGCTGTTGTCAGAAACCAAAGAAAGTACCAGTTATTTTAAAACAAAACTTGGATGAAAAGTTTCTCCCACCACTTCTCCTCTGTCAGCATTTCCTCCACAGTGTGTCCTTGGTTTGCTCTTGAAGTTGCTGCAGCCCCCCCTTTAGCAATATCTTAATCTTCTGCCCTGTAGGTCCGTAGTGTTTAGAAAATGTTGGAAATGCCTTGGATTCCCATCAGCACGCTGCAAATTGAAAGGAAATAGATTTGTGTGAGAGGCAGGTGGGGCGCTCTTTTAGAATGATGGATATCACCTTGAATATAACCTGAACAAATTGAAAAATGAAAATAAACCAGGACCAAATATGAGAGCATTACCTGAATGTCTGCCAGAAAAACATTGAACAGTGTTACGGACCTTGGCGTGTGGAAATTGCTTTTCCATTTTACGATGCACCGGCTTTACATAGCTTTGGAAATCCGTTATCTGTTGGTGCACAGCGAGCCACTTGACAACAAATAGATCAGAGACGCAGTGATTCAGGCGTGAAATGTGAGGATCTTTAGCCCACGCAACACTCTGAGTCACTGCAGCCACATACAGGAACTACTCAACTGTTCAACTGTGTGTGTGTGTGTGTGTGTGTGTGTGTGTGTGTGTGTGTGTGTGTGTGTGTGTGTGTGTGTGTGTGTGTGTGTGTGTGTGTGTGTGTGTGTGTGTGTGTAGTGTAGTGTAGTGTAGTGTGTAGTAGTAGTTGTACGTTAGTACGTAGTTACGTTAGTACGTTAGTACGTTACGTTACGTTACGTTACGTTAACGTTAGTTACGTTACGTTAACGTAACGTTAACGTAAGTTAACGTAACGTTAACGTAACGTTAACGTAANTCTGGAGGTCAGTATGATTTGACTTTTCCATTATTGCAAAATGGTATGAATTCCCTTATTTTGGTAGCTTTTCCTTCACGCAACTGTAAGCTGTGCTACAGGTGTGTAGCACAGCTTACAGTTGCGTGAAGGAAAAGCTACCAAAATAAGGGAATTCATACCATTTTGCAATAATGGAAAAGTCAAATCATACTGACCTCCAGACCAGACAAACACAGGTTTGCTGTACAAAGTGTAAAACACCTGATCTCCTCTTCCTGCTTTGCACACATATCCTGCTGTTTGTGTTTGTCCATCAATGATGAAAAGATGCTTTTCAGTCCGATTGTAGCTAACAGCTAGCAGCTCATAGCTGTAACGGTAGCCTGACTTTTGGGGAACAGCCTTATACCAGTAGAAGCTCCAGCCAGCAGAAGGATGATCAACCCTGCAGTTCAGAGTTCGTGAGGCTCCAGGACTCGGCCATGATGGAGACACAGTGAGGACAGGCAGAGGTCTTTCTGTTGGAAAGTGATTTAATGATAACGTTATGATTTATAATTGGTGGGTAACATACACTCCTTGCATCCTACAAACCTGTAAATCACAATGAAGGGTTAACTGTCCTTAATGTAAGAACAAAATAAAATTATATTTGTATTTACAGCAAAAAAAGTAAACTGATGATGTATGACTTACCGTTAGATACTGTCAATGTGAAAACATCACTCCACAGCGNGGAAAGTGATTTCAGAGAATGAAAACATCATTTATAATTGGTGAGTTACATGCACTTATTGTATCCTATATATTTTCTACTAAAGTATCAAACAAAATAAGGGTGGACTAACCAGCATACTAGTTATTCGTTTTTTTTGTATATACAGCAAAAAAAAGTTAACTGATGATACATGACTTACTGTAAGATACTATCAATGTGAGAAAAAAAATGTTTGTCACAGGTAATAAAGTATAACATGGTTTGTTGGTAAAGTGCTCTTATCCCTGTCTTTCTTTTTGTTCTTATTTTAATACTCTTGATTTTGTGATAACACAAAGCAGAGGATTTTAGAGTGTTCTTCACCTGCCTATACAGTATCAGTGGAGCTGGAATAATTTACAGATTATATATTAGAACTTGTCCCAACTGCATGTTCATATCAATATGGCTCATAAATAAATGCTTTTATTGAACTTGGTAATGGTGGTATTACTGTGATCACTTACCTGATACATTTAGATAGATTGTATTGCTTCTTTTTGTTGATCCCCCGTGCAGAAAAAAACATTGGTATTCACCACTGTAGCCTGAAGCTGAGGGTAATTTATAGCTCTCATGTTTGCCGTAAGAGAGAAATTCTTGACCATTCCAGTGGATTGAGTAAAACCAGTCTCTGTCTTTGTCTCCTGTAATGTCACACTTCAAGGTCACAGACTCCCAGGGAAAAAAAGTGGTCCGGTTTGGCTCAATGGTCAACACAGCATCTAGAAACCATCACAAGATACAAAAAGTAAAATCTGTTTTCTTTTTGTCAAAAAAGGCATTATACATTGACCAAATGGATGTTGTTTGGGGAGTTACGTAGGTAGATTGGTCTTGAGTAAGTATACAAAAAAGAAAGACAATTATATAATTACCTTGAGCTTGTCCACGGTAAAGTAAATTCAGCACTGAAAAAAGTTTGAAACTAAATCAGACATTATCAAACTGACAGAAATCCAACGTGTCATAATATCAGGCATTTAAGTTGTATCAATGGCAATTAAAACAAGAACAGTACTTACAGAAAATCCCCAGTAGGCAGAGCAAAGTGTGTCCCATCTTCACATCCAACACTGATAAACTGTTCCTCTGCTTTTGATAAGTATGTCTACTTTGTGTAAATAAAAGATAGAAACTGCAGCATATGAAGAAAAATCAGGAACTACAGAGAAACAAATGCAATGTAATATTGGAAAATCTGTTAAAAAGTAAAGTCTGGGCTTCCTTCCCTTTTACACAAAGCTCACACAACTGAACAGCTTATAACACAGCAAATGTTTTTGCACCTTGGTTTATGTTTATTCATCTAATGATGAAGAGAGATAAGGTTTTAAAATATCCTTCCTGATAAGATCATCCTGTTGGCTGGTGCTGCACAAATGGTTAGTCATTATTGATGCTGCTATAAAGACTGCTGCATGAATAAAAAAAATAGTCATACTCACTTTATAATCCATGGGCCTTCTCACCAATATTTCATGTGGAAATGTGTAACAGCTTTAACCAAATAGTTGAACTGCAGTGTTGGAGTGTTCTGGTGTTTGTGTAACATTGACGTTCCAAAAAGAACAATAAGTGTTCTAGTCAAAGAAGTTAGTCCAGCCATGGTTGGAGAAAATAGAGGTAAATTTTGTAATGTCGTCCAATAACAATTTTGAGTTAGGGAAGTAAGTAAGAAGTACACATACAGGGTGTTCTAGGTCTCGTGGTTAGTCCCGGGACGAATGTCTGGGTGTACTAGTTGGTCCTACTTTAAAGTTTTTTTACGGTCTTATAGTGAAGAGGAGGTACCAGTCGGGAAAGAGGCAAATTATTATACTAAATAAAAATTTGAGATTACACTTAATTTTTTCTACTACATTGGCACCAATAAAAGTGAAGAAGCCTTCCACTTAGCAACAGAGATACTTTGTTGAGCCTCCCTGGCCATCTCGACCCCCTTTACCATTTCATAAAGTATAACACAAAATTGTACCTCTTATGTTTAATGATGCCCGTACCAACTCACGAAACATCCGGTCGTCACAGATTTTTTTCATGTCCTTAAGAGAAACTATTAATAAAATTAGGAAGATCGTCACGGGTCATTACTTGTCTCTCTCCGGAAATGTTTTGCAACCACGCCATTTCAGTTCAATGTTTTGTGAAATTATTATGTCATGTATAATATATGATTTCGAAAATCATTACACGAACGACCGAACCGGTCAAAAGTCGTTACTGGTTTAGGTGTTTATTTTCCGAAAATGTGAAAAACACGTAAAATTACGGAAAAATATTTTGTCGTACAACAAAAGTCTGTTACAAACCAAATTACTTGTAATGAATTTGTAACATTATTATTTACCGTTCAAATTTATAAAAGTGTGTGTTACCACTTGTAATGGTGTATCAGTCATTGTATTCGTCTTTTAATGTTACTATAAGTAATAAAACCAAAGAAGGTCTAGTATTTCTTAGGAGCTACCTTGTCTTTGTTACCTCGTCTATTTTTGTACTTTGTTTAGGAACAAAGTCGTTATACTCCATAAACCGACGAAACAATTTATCACGTCACGAATAAATTTTTTTTCCGGCAAGATCGTTGTACGATTTACGAAACGTTAAGTTGAGCATAATGGAAAGAACGGCACATGAATATAAATCACAATTTTAAATATGATGTTGTAATAACAATGTATAGAGTATGTCTAATACATGAAGATTAGAACATGTAAACCACTATAAGTTCTCGGTCTATGATACGTCATACCTGTGTACGGAAATAAATAGACCGTCTTATCGGAGAAGCGTTTTTCGGTTTGTAGACTTCAGTGTCGGCGGTTGGGTTATCCAGTTTTGATTATCTACAATCCTAAAAGTTTCCTTGACTTCGTGTGTGGAAAACATGTCACATAAACAAAGAAAGTCTAAAAACCGTGCAAAAACCAAAACTAATTATGTATATTGAACCTAATAAAAATGGTAAGAGTAAAATTATTATGTTTGCGACATAAACAATTCGCAATTGGTTTTATTTGAGTTTTTGTACTACCTAAGAGTATTGCTAAGAGTGGTTTTCTCTTCGTTGTTTGGGTGTTCATAATAAGAAATAAAAGTACGAAAGTTACGTTAGTTCGTCATTTTCGGGAAGGTCCTCTTTTGTTCCGCTTGTAAATATAAAAAGGTTTGGTAATAAATAACCGTAAAGTTAATTTTTTTAACATTTGGTTTTGGAATTACGTGAATTATAAGACCGTTCTTATGTGAAAATACTAGAGTTTTACACCTTATATACCATGAAACAAGGATTTGTTAACGGGTGCCCTTTGTAATGTCATTAAAATATACATTTCTCTTTCTCTTCTCTTAGAAAAAAATGACTACCGTATGTCGGTTGTAATCAAACAGGTTAAAATACATTCCATACAAAATGATTCCCTATAAATTATAATGAACAAGAGGTCAAGGTGACTCCGTCAATGATTATCCTTTGTACATGAAGCTATATACCTGGTGGTCTCACCACAGTTTTGAAATGAAATAGACTATGAACTGGATGAGATGTGTTTATGGAAAACCTCAGACCGTCGTCCAGACTACAGTCCATTTACATTGAGGATTGATTATTGATTTGGGAACTGACGAATGCCAAAGTGAAGGAAAATCGAACGAGACTACGTACCTTCACCTTCGAAATTAAAACCTAAGATCGAAGGTGTAAATTTTGAAGTGTCGATGACCTTCCAAACCAAAATCAATAAAAACTAGATAACGTTAATTCAGTTAAGATACATGTTGACAACCTAAATGTTAAACGCGATCTTTGTGTTATAAAAGGCATAAGTTTACTAACGAAATAATGATTACTATATCTATATTTATACGAGGAATTTAATCTAGCTCAATAAAAGCTATGCCCCCCTCCTGAAACAGAGAGAAGTCAAAGTGAAGACATTTCTCTGGAACTCTCTGAAAGGGACACCCACTCCAACAAAGATTTGAATTTTG